CATTTCTAAATATTCGTCTCATTCCTCCTCAACGAGCAACTCACAACCAAAACAAATGAGTTGGCCGGTCAATTACACGAGTAGTTCAAAAACTTTAATCGTCGCCGCATCTAGATTGGCTCAGGGGCCAAATCACCCTCCCATCCAATAGTCACTGGAAGTTATGGGACTGATCATTCGCCCCTGATGTCGAGAGATTATGAATTCGATGAGCCCTTTGCTGTATTCTCATTCGGAACGACATGGAGTCTCGCGTCACGCTGTCGACCTCCCGAACAAACAGTGGTGCTCCGTACTACGTCTTCACGGCATGGTGTTGGAGCACAGGGACGATTTTACTTAGCTTTGGTTCCAGAAAATACTGTTTCATACCGCTCGAGGCTCGCTCGCATGGTATCAGCTCTAAATTACTTCAAGCAAAAACCTAGCTCCAGTCTTAGCTTAATTGCCGCTGCAGTTCTTCCTTATCTGTGTGTGTGTGCGCGCGCTCCAAAAAAGAATCTGCCGGTCTGCTTTTCCCCTAACGCGTTACGTGCTGCATGCACGTCAGTGTGATGGGAAGTCAGAAGATCCTATCTCTCAGCCTTTGTAGAAGTGTTTCAGGGAAGAGTTTCGTGGGCCAATTGCCATTATTGCAGTTGCTTTCTAAGTTAAGTGGCAGTGGAGAAGTTTCAGCCAGGCGAGTCCGGTTGTCTCGTTTCGTGGGACCGCCGATCCAAATTCTGATCAGGTCCCTGTCTGGTGTCTCATAATACTCCATTGGCGACATTCTTTCTCCTAATACGTCTTCGTGACATGGTGCTTAGCCACACAGACAAGATTCGAGCAATTGAACTCTTGTCTTGTATTCGGGACGTAGCCGGTTCGAATCTTTGACTCTCCGCCAGATTACGGTTTGTGGCTTATATCGGCATCTCAAGGCGAATTTCAGGGTGGAGCCGTATCACGGTGATGGTCCTACTTCTTTACAAATCCTTGCCTACTTAGCATTCATAGTATTACTTTTATTTCTTTATAGCCTATGCAGCTTTAAAGGGGCCGTTAAATTGATTCGCAATGATCAATATTTCAAGCTTTCGCTGGCCGTGGATGTCACAGAATCCTCTCGGATGATAAGCGTCAATGCTGAGTCAAGACCACCGTTTCTCAGACTACCCCTGTCTCTGTCTTCAGGGCCAGTGTCAGTGTCTCTGTCTTCAAAACAACTATACTCCTGGCCCAGTTTTTCTGTCGTGCTTAGCTACCGAGATACAGGGACCACCGTCACCGGTTCTCGAACTCAAGGCACTTTTTTCGGAGTATTTTCTTTCTACATTCTCTTCCAGGTTTCGAGGAATAAACATGCGAAGTTTGGTGCAAATCGATGTACTATTCTCGAGCTAAAGGTGAACACACACAGACACATATTATATATATATATATATATATATATATATATATATATACACACGTACGTACGTACCCACAGTTACAATTTTGTATATAAAATTTGAAGATATTTATCACGGTGTAATTTCGCCCATCTCAGCACCCCATCATTTCCGAGAGGAAACCATCACAACAAGGAATTAGAAGTTATTTACCCCAGTAGAAGGATATTCTAACATTCTGTGCTTAGATATGGACGGAAACATGCCATGTAGCGTGTTGCAACGCGAAGCTGATGGGAAGGGGGGGGGAGTGCTTGACTGCTCGTCAAAAAATGAAGGCAGCTGCAATTTTTGGTAGAGAGGAAGTGTTGCTGATTTCGTATTCATCCGACAGGGAAGCTCGTTTTGTGAGCGATTCTAGCACTTGTGTGTACTTCCTTTATAAGTCTTTCATTTCTGTATGCAGCCCAGTTCGTACGAACTTCTGTGCTGGCATTGCGAAGATCTGAGCGGACGCTTTGTGCGACCTGAAGAGCTGTTTCTGATCCTACTCCCAGTAAATGTTGTAGTATTTAGAGTGGGCGAAGATTTGCCGGTTCAGAAACTTGAAGTGCCTCCAATTACACGAATAACACTGAATTTCACCGGGATATTTACCCTGAACTTTTATTATTTGGGTACTTCTTGTTTTTTTTTAAAGTTTTCACTAAAATATTTTTATGATTTGTTGTTGTTGCTATTTTCTGCCTCTGGTTGGTACTCAGGTACGTTTATCACATGCAGTATTAAGAGAAATTATTTTTACATGAACCATATTAAACGTTTACCTACTGTGTTAATAGTATTTTAAAATAAAATTAATAGGTATTAACTAGAATTCTGGCTATGTTATATTCTGTACCTTTTTTAATACAATGTTTCGTCGTCTCGAAATAGCCGAAAATTTCAGTTTGCACTTCATGTAAGGTTCTGATTATATCAGACCGATGCGATCCAAAATTAAATTTTACTTAAATTATTAGTATAAACGGCCTGTCCAGACTTTTGTCAAAATCCGTACATTAATTTCAGATGTGAAACTTGTATACAGGCGTTCACTTCATGCGCTTTGTAGTGAAACACGCATCAAATGTAAGGGTCTGTGATATGGGAAACGACATTTATGAATGAAATTTGCGATGTTCACTGGGTAAACATTAAGACTGTTTAGTCCTATAAGTAGCGAACATGAACAACGGAAGACGCACGTCTACCCTGCTGGTGACAGCAGATTTTCCGACATACTAATAACTATTTAATATAACACCACCCCGGGCTACATGTGCATCAGTTTTTATATGATCTGTTTTCAGGATTTTAAAAATGGAATTAAATTCTACAAAATTTAGGCCTAATACTCGTTAAGCTGAAATATTAATATAGTTCTTATCTACCTGCCTAGAAGTAGTTAACCTATTTTAATACTATTTTTGAATGTGGCTGTACTGATTAAGGTATTCCTCAGATAAATCATGTCTACCGCAGAGTTCTTTTTGTAGATCGGTTTAATTTCTGTAATAGTTTTGGCTCGTGATCTTCTCTGTCTGGTTTCTCTGGTTCTATTGTATACCTTTTTACTTTTCCCCTCGCCAATTTAAACTTTTTCTTACACTTCCAACTCTGTAGGATTTTATACATGCAAATTGAATTGTAATATTTTTATTGCGCGAATTCTTTAGCGTTCTAGTACGGTATCTTCAATCTTTCCTTCTCGGACTTTATTTCACAATTTTGTCTCTTTTTATGCCTAGTTTGTTACTTCTACATTCCTCCTTCCTTTCTTACCCCCAGGGGCCCGTACCAACACCGCGGATTTAAAATGGAATGTAAAGCATCTAAAAAAAAGATACTTATGAAAAAAAGTGAAATCTAATTTATTGTTCATCATGTATAGACTGATTGCAATCTACATTCTAAACACTTGTTCACTTGGTTTAACTTGAAAGTGAGTCGAGAGAGTTTCCATCCTGGTGCCAGCTTCACCTGATAAGATTTCTGACTGGGGCGGGTGGGGGGG